TTTTGCTAGATTTTGGCATTTAGCAACTGACATACGGTTTAATGTGAAGACAAACAACAACAACAACAATAGGCCTGAGAGCGAGAGCCAAAAAATTGAAATTTCGGGTCCAGACGCCTCTTGCCATTTCTTGGCAAGTAGGGGACGGGCTATTCCAAGAAGCGGTGCAAATTGAAGGTCTCATCAGCAGCTTCGCGAGCATATGCGTGTCATCGTCATCGGATGCTGCAGCGAGGAGCTAGACAAGTTGCTAGATTTGCCCAGATTGGCTATTTCTGCTCAAACTGTTTCAGGGCGGTATCGCGTCGGGCGGTGGGCTCTGCTGTAGCTTCTGCTCCCCGCTGTAGCTCCACAACGAGAGACTCCCACAGGATGACCAGGGTAGCGGCTTGAAGCTACGGGCTAGCCCTTCAATTCAAGCTACACAGCAAGCTCCACCTCTCAGTGGTAGTCCGGCTACAGCGTATCGCGCAATCTCGCTCTCAATCAGATGCTACGCTCTCAATCAGGCGAATATGTTGTTCATCACGTTTCTTGTTGGGGCGTTTCTTACGTTGTGGCCGAGATTGAGCTCTGTTTCTTAGCCCTTTTTTCTTTTTTTTCGTACAAAGTTGAGTCTTTTTCCTTGACAGATTTTTTTCTTAACTGCGGGCGCTATCTGTATTTGTACGCAAAGGGCAGGGGTGGCGAGCACCTTGAGACGCCGTACCTTCTTTCGAAGACCGTTCATTCGTTTACTCATGAAACTCAACAGAGCCGTACAGCCAAGCCACGGGGGGAGTTTCAGGGAACTCTTCGCGATATAATATGTGGAAGGAAAAGCCATCAGGGTAGCTTATGGTCTCCGCCGGGACGACAGTGATATGTACTGGTGTTCCTCGGTGCGACGCTGAAATACGCTCGTTGTTTTTTTGTTTCACAAGAATGAGATAAATATATGCATATGTCTACTTGGACTTTCTTCCTTCTTCCGCTGCCGGCTACGCAGTACATTAGTTGGCCAAGTACAAACTGGTGTACTGTAGTTGTTTTCAACACGTCCCTGACTGCTGTACATCTCATTTCAAGTATTGTAAATATGTTCGACGTCAACAAACACAGGTGGCCAGTGGGCACGGTTGTACGGGGGCGTTGTGTAACCTCCGGCCAACCAGGGGTTATTACATGGGATAACGTGGGGGGGTTACAGGCCGAGCGAGCATAACGTACCAGGTTATGAAAGCGGTCATGCGCGGATTGGTGTGAATGAAGGAGGAGAAAAGAAAGAACTATGTGTGATTCTTCCCCTCCATAGCTACATTGTACTCAATCCGTATTTGTGTTATAGTTACCTAAAATTCCGCTTCGCATTACTCAACGTCGGATTGATCGGCGAAGGAAACATAACATGAGGGAGACCGAACCGGTATCTCGTACCTGCAGTATCGAACGGTTGACCGCTACGCTACATGTTGAAGCCTATCGCTATCGAGTCAAATTCTATACTTCTATAGTAGGGGCGGAAACAATGGTGGCAACACCACCCACGCGGCCGGTAAGAGCACACTTATACTATGCGCCCCCCCCCACGCTAAAAGCAGAAACTCCGAGCAAAGTCCTCCATTACGAATCGTTCAATGGCAAGTTTTTGTTCAGCAAAGTTTTTATGTTCCACAGCAGCAACAACATATAGTACACGAAGAATAGAATTTTTTAACAATGCTGAGCGCAATTGTTTTCAGCAGAGATCATATTAATGTGTAATAATACTACATTCGACCACTATTGTTATATATTTTTAAGGAGGCAGACGTACGTACGTGTTGTCGTATTGACTTTTACGAGAGAGGCAGCGTGTGTATACGTAGTATATCATCGCCTACTCTATCTCTCTTTTTCTCGGTCTTTGCTTTGCCCCCCAATCGTTGCCGTGCGTGTTTCTGCGCAACAATATATATATCAAATAGTGTAAGCCCATGTCTGTCTATGTTGCTTCCGGCACTACATCATGATCATCAGAAGATGAAGATGGCGCTCGCACTTTAGAACTTGGCAGTTAAGAAATGCGGCCTCGAAAAAAGTCAATATCACAGAAATTGTCGACAAATTAATAATTACAACACACGTGCGTGCTCAGGCCCGACGTGGTGGTAAGAACAATAAGAACGAACCCGCATTTCTTTGTGGTGTAAGAACAGAGCCGCCGAAACGCGACAGCTGCAAGATATAATGAGCACTCACGAAGGGGTGAGGGGCTACTCGCGGGGTGAACGGTGGGCAGTTAGTTGCAGATCAGCGGCGAGGAGGAGGTTCCATTGAAAATAGTACTGGTGGTGCGGAGATGGGGGGGGTGTAGTGTTTATATTTTTGCGCGTCCAACGGTAGTCAACTATGAAAAAATCGGTCTTACAAATGCCGGCACTCTTGAAGTTTTGTTTTTTGATGTATGCCGCGAATGTCCGATGAATCGGTGTATCGTGTACTCTGTGGACACCGGCTGGTACATAGTTTTCGCGGCAAGGCATGGACATTCTCGGGCTTGGACAACCTCGCCTGCAACCAAGCACGGATACAAATTCCCTTAACTGCCTAACCTTGGAGGTTGGTAAAGGTGCGCCCGATCGGGTTACGCAGGTTACACAACGCCTAGGGGTTACATGTCACGTTAACCCCCCCGTAACCGTGCCCACTGGCCACCTGTGAACGGTTGCCAGTCGTCTCGGCGATGGTGACTTTTCGTACCACCCCCTTCTTTAGCAAAAGACGCGTAGTTTTAGGTATTATAGCATGCCTCCATTGACCCCGGGGATGGTGATGACCCCGCTTTGAGGACGGTTTTTTCAGGAAAAACCATGTGCGTCCTTAAAGCGGGGTCGACTATAGCGTAAGTTCGTGTGTACACGGAGGGAAGAGAGTGCTGATCTCTTCTCGCATGAAAAATCAAAGGCAACGTACCGCTGGAGGGGAGGGTAGAGAGGGATCCTTCTGTGTGACCACGGGTTGGAGTAAACGGCACTAGTGCTGTGAGCGCTGATTTGAAGTGAAGACCAAAACAAAAAGGGTGTAGGTATAGACTATATGTCCAGTATGTATGTCCAGAGATGTCGCACTAGTCTACAGGCTACTGGTGTGCTACTGGTGCCATCATGTTAATGAGCCGCGGAGCGCGAAGTGTGGCCTTTTTTCCTTCATTCCCAGGAGTTAAAATAGGCTTTATATATCGGCCAAAGTTGCGCCGCGCAATACAGGGGCCTCAAAACTTGATTTTCCGGCAGCCTATTTAGCACACATTGGGACCAGAACGGGATCTATTGGACCCCGATGGACGATCTGTTCGTTTCTCAGGAAGAAGAAAAATAGCGCAGTCGTATCCATACCGGTTTCGTCGTGCTCCGACAGCAGATGGCTGTGCTTCACCGACATATGTTACATATGTCGGTAGCCCAAATTCGCAGGAGATCTTGCTCCCCAGCCCCGGGGTTTCTACGCGAAAAGGTGTGCACAAAAGCAGAGATCGCGCGCGCGCGCGATTGAAACCTGGAGAAGACACAGACACAGAGACAACAACACCTCTAAAAATCACATCACCGCTGGGACGCTGTTCCGTGACTGGCCATCTACAATATATAATGAAGACTAGTAGAGTACGGTCTTGTTCCTTCTTCTTACTCTTCGTTTCTTCCCAAGCCCTCACCGCCATCCGTCTGGTTATGGCCCCCCGCCCCGTTGGGGGGCGGGGGGCCAATCCTTAACCCTAGTATGTTATACAGGTACAGTAGTACAATATTCTGACTCTTTCTTCGGTTACTTCATCCCCATCCATTATCTTTCTTCTTCCTGCATGCAGTACTGTACATCATGTTACAATCGTTGCTATCGTCAAAAAACTTACATTAATGAATTAGATGGATCGACCATTGCCGCACCGATTGCAAGAACGATTTGTGACGCGCGTGGTGGTTGTTGGGCGAACGCGCATTATTGCTGGCATCATGCAAACTTATTCCCTGCGCAGTCGTCTTTACATACGCGCAAGAAGAATGAAATCCTGTAGTTTTTTCAGAGACTAAATGTTCTCAGTTGCTGTATAGGGTTAGTCTGTGCTGCAATTGGCTGCTATGTTTGTTTCTTTTCGTTTAGGAGTTCTGAATTATCAGGCTCACAAATGGTGACAAATGCTGCTCATTTTTCCTGGTTTTTGTGTTTCGAGGCCCAATCTCTTGACATCCAAGTCCTCAAGTGCGGGCCACAGTAACTGCTGTATTCCAAAGATGCATCTATCGTGTAGTTTTCGCACTCGGGCGGGAAGAAGGACGGTGTGGCAATCACAATTACCGACGTCCTCCTCCACGCCTGTTTGTTATTTCCCGAAACACGCAGGGTCCCAGCCAGCACCAAGTCAAGCGCCGTTGCCCACTTCCTTAGAGGATCGTGTAAACACACGACAGCGGCAGCGGCATGTACGGGTCTATTGCTGAGGACGAGGAGTCTAGGTTGGCGCGTAGATCAAAAAAAGTGTCGTTCGGCAACATGGGCGAACGACTCACGATGCAGCCGGACGCAAGACCATGGTGGAGCCTGGTTGGAGCAGGAGCGCTTGTTCTCGGTGCTGCCGTGGTCGCTTTCGCGTTCGACAAGATACAAGTCCACACTGCGGCATCACCAAGAACTTCGGGTGCTAGGTTGGGGTACGTCGTGACCCCTTCGGAGAAGACTCAAGCGACGATCCAGCAGACCCCGCACGCCTTGCCGAATGGAAATTCGCCGACAACAAAACCAAAAGTAGAGGCCGCAGCAGGTGTGGGAGAGGTAGCCCCGCTCTCCTTCCAGGCACTTAACTTCTACCATATCCGGGACGGCAAACCGGCGCAGGACTACCCCTGGCTTAAGGGCGTCAAGCTCATCGAACCCCACCGAGAGACAACTCTCTCGGTGTCATCGCCGCGCGACGGCCACGACTACATCTGGGAGGTTCGCGCCGGTGAAACGGACGAGGCCAACCTGGTGGCAACGGCAAGAGGGGCTGAGGCCGTTGTAACCCTGACGACTCTTGACGACAACGTGATAACTGTGAAGGAGGTACACCCCGACGGGCACATCGTGCGGCGGTTGGACGAGGTGGTCATGGTCAAGTACGTTCGAAGGGAGATCAGGACTCTCACGGATGAGGAGCGAGAGGAGCTATTGGATGCGGTGAGTACAGAAGCCATATTGATGTTGACCGCATCACGAAATGGTCACCAAATTTCAAAGGATATTTTGTTGTTGTGAAAGTTGGTCCGCGTGTACAAGCCGTGGCATAACAAGTGAGTACCGTAGATGACACAAGATAACATACCCCCTGGACCGATTTTCAAATCTCGATTTCTCGACAGCAGAAAGAGGTACAGCGCGGAAAACGGTGGATTTGAAGATGTCTCATCTAGAGCTTTCCGAAAACACATTGCTTCATTTATTCATCCTCTTCGTTGTCGCATAATCGAGCTTTGAAAATTGGTCCAGGGGGTGTGTTATCTTGTGTCATATACGGTAATACGCATGCGACACGTGCTGTGTGAAACGTAAGAAAAGCGGTGTGAGGATCGCGTGTAGTGTGAAACTGTGCGAACTTCCGTTCGGTTAGCAGTAAGAAGACGGGACAAACTTTGCCACAAGGAAGGATGAGACAATAATATGACACCCTCCTCAAGAAGTATGTAGCTTGGTCGCCTCGGTTGCATTTACAAACACGTACCGCACTGTTTAGGCTGCTTGCTGCCATGCCAGTGTAGGTTCTTCTTTACGTTTATTATCAGGTGGATCAAAGTAGTGTGAATCGCCGAGCGATCCTGGTACAGCTGAGGTGCACACCTCAGACCTCCGACCGAATATTTAATTTCCGTAGAGAGGAACCATGTTCGCGACATGCCAGGTCCCGTGTTTTCCCTGCACGTTATATGTATTTGTTGTCCTTCATTTCAGTTGGGGACTCAAAGACACATATTGGTGCCATCCATCGTTCGTTGCCACTCTACAAGCTGTAGCCTAGTCTTCCGACCCCCATCAACAGCCGTACGGAAAAGGCCGTCGAAGTACAGCGGTGGTATGCACACGTTTCCCTGATGTTGCGTACTTGTGAAATATATTTCAAACCTGCTGCTTGCTGTGAATTGCTTCACATTCCTCGGCACCTTCGCCGTTGTTGGCGTTCTTGGATCGACTACTCTACAGATGCACCAGCTTTGGGTGGTGCGAGTGAGCGGAGGCAACGGGATCGAGCAGGACGGGGACGGTTATGCGGATATGTCCTTCATCAGCCGCCTGCACTTCAAGGCAGCACAGAACGGCAGCTGCGACCACGTCAGTTGAAATGAACGAACCAGAGAAAAAGTGATACGAGCACGCAAGGGTTTTTCGTACGGTGTATTGGTGATAGGCTTGCGGCGGTAGCGCGTTGGGTTGGACCGCCTTGTAAAGCTCATCGCAGGTGCTCGCTGAGGAGCAAGGTAGCCTGCTATGTGCGAGAGGTGGAACACTGCTGAGTGCTGTCACCCAACTTGGTGACCCCCAGAACGATGAGGTATATATCTCGTTGATGTCGTTCTGTACAGGCTGACACCAGGGCCTGGTTGTTGATGGTCGAAGATATGAGTGACGGAGAGAGGCGGTCGGGCCATCTCTCGATCGCAAGAACAATATAATTACAGTATCTACCGTTGTTGGACCCCGAATAGTCGCCCATTTATGTTGGGGTTCCCCCGAGAACTATCTTTTCCTGACAGTCCCGTACGGGAACGTTGTCACACAGCATGTGGTCTCGGCTCTACTGCTAGCTGCTGCTGATACCGGTACCATTCTACAGACCTAGCGTGCACACACAATCTTACTCTAGTAGATGGATAGCTTAGATACGACTACTTTTATCCATGCTGCCTGCAGCGAACACATAAGGATGAGACTTGCTTACTTGCCTTAATGGACACGTAGTCAATTTCCCTGACACGGTGTAGACTACTCAAGTAGTAAGGTGATATCTCGGAGGAACATGGAGGGGTTCAGATCAATTGGCGGGGAATCGGGTAGTTGGTGCCTGGTTGCGATATGATACGTACGTGTAGGCCGGGGTGTCACGCTTTGCTGTTTGGCCTTTGGCCACGAGCACAACCAAGTGTGGTTGAGGAGTACTTGAAGTAGGATAACGTTGGTGCGCGTTTGTTCGTACTTCCGATTCAACAGGCCTAGTCCGTGTGTATGAAGTACTTTGTCAAGGATTAGCTCCCCGCCCCCCAATGGGGTGGGCGGCCATAACCAGACAACAGCAGTAACTCAAGCGCTACCAAATCTGGTTTCAAACAGTCGACCCACCCGTCCCTCCCTATTTCCTCGTTCCTAGACAGACACCAACCCTACGCCCACACTTTCTCGCCACGTTGTGCTACAGTTCCATGAGGGTCTCGGGTTCTTGACCAGCCACTCGATGCTGACGAATACCTTTGAGTACAGCTTGCAGCAAGTGAATCCCAAGCTGACTGTGCCGTACTGGGACTTCACCATTGAGTACGTTGAGGCGGAAACCGATGGCGATGATGAAATCAAGATCAACTCGCCACTTTTCCAAGAGTCTTGGTTCGGCACGGCGGATCCCGTTGACAACGTGGTGAGTGAACTAAATCATCATCGTCGTGATGTCAGTACGTTACAAAGGCTCATTTCAAGGCCGAGTGGGGTAACAGCCAAGATGCGCGGCGGCTCTTGACCCTGACGCACACCCCTTCTCTGGCGGGTTCGTGTATTCTTCAGGTGAAGGATGGTCGTTGGGCAAACACCGCGATCCCGCGTACCGACCCCGGCACGGATGGAGATTTGATTCCGGACGTGTACGGCCTCCTCCGCTCGCGCTGGGTCGTCAACTCGTCACCGTAAGTTCTCGACTACCAGTCACAGCGCCCGCCGTAGTGTCCACCCTTCCTTGTCCTCATGGAGATTGACCTACCGCCGAATGGCTCTCGCTGCCTCTCTCTCGCTTTCATTGTTTCGTCTCACGTCGATTTTCAACAATCACAACAACGGTTCTTTCCTTCTTGGTCGTTCACGTGCCCAGTAGGCCCACCGTACACAGCCATCTCAGCAAACCAACCGAGCCAATTACCGTGAAAAACGACAGATATCTGACACGGGGACTGGGCAAGTTGTGCGGCGGGTCCACTGTCGAAAGGTACGGTTGGCCATCATGCGAGGACCACCACAACTTGGTAATGGACTACGACGACTTCTACTCGTGGGTGTCCGAGAGCATGAACTCCCCTCACGGGCCAGTGCACACCTGGATCGCGGGCGTGCTGAACTGTGAGGACACCATCAGCTCCCTCAGTAGCCTTGTTGGGGAGAACAATGCCAATTCACTGCTGAACACCTTCAAACAGCGGAAACTCCTCTGGAGCTACGGCATGTTCGGGTGCGAGGGTTTCGCGGCCGAAGGCATCCCAACGGACGAGCTCCTCTCGTCAGGTAAATGCGGGTGCCTGGGCTACAACCTCAGCCAGGGAGACGATTGGAAGACCATCTACGCCAACCCCACCTCGAATCTCGACGACTTCATCGGCGACTACGACGACGAAACCAAGCGCCAGGTGGTCGCGGCCGTGTGTGCCTCCACCATTTACTACGGCGACCACTTGCATGTGAGCGTGCGTGCTCTGTTCGGGCACGAAGTATGTAGGAGCTCGGGGGCAAGGCCAACACCTTTCCTTTCTCCAGCGTTGGGGATAGCTTGCACATGTTGCACCCTCTGTCTTCCGCGGGCGAGCAACCAGGATGGTGGCAGGCTAGGGGGTTGCGGCCATATGCGCCCCTGTACGGCGGTGGTAGTCGCGTTTCAGTATCGGGAGTAGAGCTCTGCTTTGGTTTCTCATTTTATGACGGAGGCGTTTGGCGAGCATCCCTTTCGATAGCGCCAGTATAAGCCTGATTAAGGGCATATTATCTTGTCTTCGAGCGCTTCCAACGTCAAGCGAGGCGACAGTAGGCGTCCGCATGGAGACAGGTGGAAAAAAATCGTTTCACACGGGATACGCAACTTCACCGTTCACCGTAAAGTCGACGCTTTGTCTCTCGCATGGCAACCCTGTGTACGATCGGTGCCGACTGTTCCAGCATTGGTCCCGCATGCCACAAACTTTCTTTTCTTCTTTCCTCCCATCATTGGGCTCTGTCGACTGCTCCTCTGGCCCCCATCCTCCATTTGGACTAGCTGGATGACCCAACCGGGGTCACATAGGAGGCGGGGGTTGGACCCCCTCCTGCGGTTCCTGTCTGAGATATTTTTATGTAAGAGCGTGAACATCCATTTCTCTTAAGAGCTAACTCCACAAATTGGTGCCCCGTCGGAATGACCCACGACCATCACCATCAGGCGGGCTCCTCGCTGGACCCCACCTTCTGGCCAATGCACCCTACAATCGAACGCCTGTTCGTGTTCTCGGCGCTGACGGGACAACTCACCAACTTCCACTGGCCTGACTCTGAGTGAGTGAGCACGCTGCTGACTCGCTTGTTTTTTATCACTGATGCAATCCCAACGACGGCATTTGTGTTCTATTGTACACCCCACCCTGACGTCCAACCTCCCCCCTTCCCCCGCTAGCCGTGAATGCCTCGCTGTCGTTCTCTGGACTTTCGTCATTTTTCAGGGCGATAAATTTCCCTTCTCCGTTTCATTGTAATCGGTGCGCAGGCTTTCCTACACGGACACTAACGGCGATACCGTCGTCGAGACGACCAGCAATTATGGCGACAAGTGTTATGGCCACGGCGGAAGCGACGTGTTCCCCTTTGGCCTTCTCGACAATGACGACGATGCCTTGAAGGTATGTAAATGATTGGCAGAGCCGTCGAGAGCGGTGGCTAGCTACCCCAGTCCCACGAACGCTTGCAGGATCTCTACGAGACTAGTCGTATCCCTGGGACACAAGTACCCATGATCCCGATTTCTCGACCCCTTTTCGACACACACCGATGCTGTCTTTCGTTCCAACCTACCGTAGTAATGTGGTGTTTGTCGCGCCGTTAGTCAATAGTCGTCAACGCCTTTTCACTTCTGGGACTAGCTCGTTGCAATCCATCCGTACCCGTCTCGCACCCCTGCCGACTCGAGCAACGGGAGATAACTTCTGCCTTGTAGGTGTGCCTTAATCAATCTAGGCCCCAATCAATCGTCCGCGCGCTGCATCTCCCAAATCATTGATCCGTTGGGAGTACTATGTAACTTATCCAATGTTTCATTATTACCAAGCCGAACGTCCAACGTCCTGTGTCTCTGACTTGCTCGAAACTTAAACCTATCCTTGTCGTCTGTGCATATCGGCGTGTTTCTCTGGCACAATCTCTCTGCGCCTGTCTCGTTCCTGCTCTCGCTCTCTCTCTGCAGATCAAGACCGGGATGCAGGGAAACGGAGAGACTGGCAACACACTCACGAATCGGGAGGCCTTAGCAAACATGGACGGCCGATTCAACAATCTGCCATACGTGTACGATAACTTCAAGTGGGAGCACTGCCTGGATTCGGGCATCGACTTCGACGACGCCTGGGACGCTTCGACGACGTGAGACCCGACAGAAAGGGCCAAAAGGCTACCAGCGGCGCAATGTAAAGTCGACCAAGAACAAGTCGGCCTCTTTTCAAAGTGTAGCGTAACACGACGCGGCAAGAACGTACCGCGGTCTAACGGTGGAGACGGATTTGGGGAACTCTTGAGAGCTTTATCGGATCCTGTGGTGCGTTGGGGTTGGTTCGTCGACAGGGTATCCTATATAAGCCTCGACATTGAAATTTCATTGCTGTGCTTGATCGCCGGTGTTGTGGCGAAATGGTCGTGTGCGTGTCTCTTGTGTTTTGATATCAGGTCTTCTCAATTTGAGCTTTGACGAGGGCTTGACCACGGCGAGAGAGGGGCAACCAAGATCGCATTTTGCTAGGCCAATGCCGTCTAGTCTACACCCTTGTAGGAGTTCATGTTCTACAGTAGTGAGAGCAGCGTTGCACTGATGTTGTTTGTGCATGCTCCGCGCTCAAAGCGGCTGATCGATGAATAGGTAAGCGTTGTCGTAAGTTCTTCGCAAAAAAACAAATTCTTTGGAAACTTTGTATAGTCTCGTTGAATAAATAGCAAAGAGGGTGACGGACCCCCCAATAGGGCGGGCGGCCAGCATGCGTGGGATGGGTGTGGCGGTTCGATATGCAGAGGAAGTAGACGCGGTGATGACATCGCTACGCAAAAAGGGTGAACGTGAACGAAATTGACCTAGAAGGTGTGAGGTCCACGCGTCCGTTGCGTAGATCGGTGGTCCCGCAAGAAAAAAACACGGAAGGCATTCTCGTGGAAAGGTCGATGCCCGATCAGGTAAAGCGGACAGAAGACCGGGGTGGGTGGTGGCAAAAGAGTTGCGAGGAGGGAATTGGGAAAACAAGATGCTATTGTGCTACTTGATGGCTCCTTTGTGAAGGTTTCCATCACGAGTAGGCGCATGAACCCTGCAGGGATCGTGATCGTTTGTGCTTCTTTTGTCATCATCGACCGTGCTAACGTTGGTGTGTATCACATTAATATATCAGACAGAAATGGTCGTCGTCGTCTGCCTCTATTTGAACTTACTTAATGAACCCTCGTTTTCTACTTTTTGCGGAAATTTGTATAGTCCTCTAAAAAACATTTCCCCGCCAAAAGAACATCATCAGTCACGCTCCACCGATGTAGCCAACCGGCTTCATGTACCTTGGACCGTAGTCCCGACGCTGACACGAGCTTCCCCCTGGTTTGATCGAATCAGAGGATTGACATAGCAAGACGACGTTGCCAAATCCAGAATATGTTTCACCGTCAGCATCGATGAGATTTACTCGTCGACAGAACGCTTATGAATCTGAAATAACCTTTGCGTTTTCGGTAGCACGACACGGTGATCGAAGTGGGAGTGAACGTTCTCTTCGAAAATTCTGTAACATCGCCAAAGAAAAACAGTACCATGTCGCCGATGAAAAAAATAGAGCTCCACGGACGTACACGGTCTTTACGAAATTCACTCATTCATTCTTGCCGATGACACTCAATGGCAGGGCTTTCATTTTCCCACGTTGCATTGTGAAACCGAGTCCCTACCTCATTCAATAATTCTGTTTCACTGTCGTACCCCTACGTGGGAGTATCACTTATTTGTTCTTGTCCATGGCATTGGTATCAAGAACTGTCTGTGCCCGCAGTCTCAGTGTCACACCGAGTCCCGACTCCGACACTGTGCCCCTTGATTGATCCAATCAGAGGCATAACAGTCCCGACTCCGACACTGTGTCCCTTGATTGATCTAATCAGAGGAATAATATCGCATGGGTCATTGCTTAGCACATGTTTCACTGCCAGCTTCGAGGAGGCTTCCTGATCGAGGTGACCGATGTGCTTCTGAGACAAACCTCTTCCGATTCAGTACCTCAGTAGCACGACATTCATTCTTGAATATCTGAATGTGAAATACTGCGCAACCAACCCAACGCAAAGTGGACGGTGTCAGTGAAATATTTGGACTCCATGGAAACAAACCAGACAAAATTTCACTACTTCCGTCCATGAAATTCGCAGCAGGCAGCAAATTCGGCGGTAACACCTTACATCCACTGTGACGGGCGAAGAACATATCATCTGTGTCAACCCACCTTACGCTCCTGCCCAATCGCCATTCTCCGAAACTTTTGCACCGTCCGAAGCAGGTTCCAACCCACACGCTCTTGCTGATGTTGCTCCGCTTCGCTGATGCTCTCCGGCACGCTCGGCGAAGGATGTTTGGCTTTCCACCCCCCACCTTCCTTGCACCCATTGCTCGTGGAAACTAAGGGGCGCGCACTACACCCAGCCCCGTGCGCAAGGGAGGCTAACCGCTTGTAAGCCGCAAGCCGATATATCACACCTGTCCACCTCTTCTGAATATGTACCCCCGCCGTCTGCATTCCACCTTCCTCGGCCCCCTTGCCAACCCCGCCGTCTTCCTTTTTCGCTCTCATTTCTTTCCCACATGTTGTTCTTATGTTTCTCCAATCCACCTGCGCCCTCGTTCTCGGCCGTCGTACGGCCGTCTTGAGCAAGGCAACATGTATTTTCTCTTTTGTCTTCACTTCAAATCAGCGCTCACAGCACTAGTCAGTGCCGTTTACCCCACCCGTGGTCACGCAAAGGAGTCCCTCCCTACCCTTCCCTCCAGCGGTACGTTGCATTCGATTTTCAATGCGAGAAGACTTCAGCACTCTGTTTCCTCTGTGTACACACGAACTAGCGCTATTCTCTAGGCCAGGAGCGCAAGCGAGGGAGAATCTCACTTTGCAAGAAAGCTCGCTTTCGCCGGGATTCGAACCCCTAACCTGACCTCTAGATAGAAGGTTTCGAGGATACCAACTAGACCCCCGGGGCGACCGGCTTACATGTTTCGTCTGCATCAATAGCGGCAACCACGTGTTCGTTACGGCCGAATAGGAACTTGAGCGACAGCTGGTGGGCGTGGCAACACAACAAAAATGGTGTTGTGCCCGTTGCACGTGTTCTCCGAAACTTTCGCGCGTTGCCGTAAATAGTCTATGGCGTACTTACGACACCGGCGAGGTGGCGCTGCGGCCACGTTCTTGGGGCGTATCTCGGGAACCACACGTTCGTTTCGGTCAAAAAACGGCTTGCACGACATCTGGTGGGCGTGGAACCACAATGCCATTGTTTCGCGCAGTGCCGGTAATGTGGCGTACTTGCGACACCGTTTACGACACCGGCAAGGTAGTGCTACGGCCGCGTTCTTGGGCGTTTCTCGGGAACCACAAGTTGGCTTTGGCCAAGACACGGCTCCTGTGATTGCTGGGGGCCCTGGAACCACAGCACAAGTGGCTTTGCGCCCACTAGATGTGTCCTCAGAAAGTTTCGCGCGGTGTCGAAAACAAGGAATATTTTCGACACCACCGAGGTGGTGCAGTGACATCATTTTGGGCCAGATCTTGGCAACCACCGATCAGTTTGTGGCGAACGAGGACTCGCGCGACAGCTGAAAGCCGTAGAAACACAGAGAATGCAGTTTGGAAGAATTTGGTGCGATGCCGTTGATATGGTTCACATTACCGCGGAAAACCAAATTTGTCGAAGAGGACTTTCCCTGCTCTCTTCAACTCCTGCTGTGCGCGGATGGCGACAAAATAAACTGGCGCATTGGACCCCCTTCGTCTCTTCAACCGCCTCGTTCGGATGGGAACACAAGAAACGCCACAGCAGGCGGAAGATGCCCAAACTCGGAAAGAAGTCATGATTTGCGATTCCCCACTAATCCATACTCGAGGCGCCTAAGACTTGCACTGTAGCCCGAGATCAGCACTTGAGAACAACTCGGGCAAGGGGTGTACTCAGAGTCGTGCATGCCGTAGTCGTTAGACCATTGACCTCGCATCCCTACAAAGCCGGGACGGAGCACGCCGGGTTCTCACCGGACCAGGCTCTCACATCACCAAGCGCGAAGCGCCGTGAGATATTCGGCGAGTCGCATGAAGGGTGCGCTGCATCCTGCTAAGGGTTTTCGGCATCTTGTGCTTACTTCCTTGCGTACGGATGACAGCTGCGTATGACCCAATTCATTTTCTGGTGCTCTCACTTCCAGAGACAGTTGTAAGCACTGTGTAACTGCCTCGAGGGTGCTTGACCATTTTAACACAACGTGGTGCGATCATCCCCCTTGCGCGGAGTGAGGGTTCTCGACCCCGCACAACATAATCTACTCGACCACCATGATGGTTACCGCCAAAAAACAGAGGGAAAAATATTATAACGGTAACCGGTTGCCGAGTTCACGAAGTGAATTGGCTTGTTTTA